GCATAAATAGCCATTTTTGGCTTCTGCGCAAAGGGGTTAATCATGGGTGTGTTTTGGGGGTAACATGAAATAAACCAATCAGTGTGTCATCTCCCATGACCTGTAAAAGCCAGATGCGAAGCACCTTTGCAAATTGCTATTATAAGGGCGGATTTGCCTGGTAACAGGAAAAAAACTGTACCCTGCAGATGGAAGGGTCTGCGAAGCACATGAGTAAACCATTAAAGTATGGAAACCTGAACACAGTGATCTCCAAAAATGTCATAAAAACATTTTTTTTTATATAGTGCTCCAAATTGGTTTATTCATAACCAGATGTTACAAATCATTATTGTGGATTTCCAAGGCTGCATTTGAATTTTACATTACAATACAACTTGTGAATAAAACAAGTAAACGAATGAAAAAAGATACTAATTCAGGGTCACCGGTGAAAAAATAATTACGCGCTGGTGGGGAACGACCAACAGAAATTAAAAAGAGTGAGAAAAACAGCCAGCGAGAAAGAGACAAAAATAATGGTATCTTGTTAATGCTACTGTAACCCCTTGAATTATAGCCAGTGGGTGTAGAGAGAATCTGCTCTCGCTTGGCTGACGATTGAAGGTGAAGTCAGATATATGGAAGAAATTCGGATTAATTATAGACGGTGAGAGCCATGTTATCCATTGCTTTGGCTGCAGCTAAAAGGGCTGCCAAACTGTGCATAATAATGAGGACATTTCAAATGAAACAGAGTTTTGTATTTGATAACAGAAGCAGGGCAGATGGGTCGCAGGCACTGTACCAATGAATCAGGTCCACTCAAAATGGATTTTTTCAGGTAATTGCAGATAACAGGCTGTCCCATGCATGACTTGTCCAAAGATCTGAAGCGCATTTTCATCACTTCAAAGATTTGTTCTATTACAGTTTGTGTTTTATGTGATGGAAAGGAAATCTCTGCACTGTTTTCGGCTTGATATGTCATGTATTTAATACATAGGCTGACCATTGTCCCCGAACAGCCACCCCTCCAGGAGGGATCCTCTAGTAAAAAGCAGGAATGACAGAGCTCGCCAATATGAAAAAGTCATGGCTTTATCCAGAAGAATTTACAAATGTCTATATACGTAACCTCATATATTGAATTGCAAATTGCCTGGTGGAACAAGTTCACTTACGAGTTAAATAGCCTGCATTGCAGCATGATCTGATGTACGGACATCAGTTGCACTAACCATTCTGACATGCATTTTTAAAATAGCTCACAATAATATTTCACATCTTAATCTCTTTATCTTTGATCGTTTGCATGAGTGGGTGCTGCTGCTTGTCCCAGCATGTCTATTATATGACAACAGAGTGTACGTGCGTTGTGCTCATACACATGTATACAAGATGTATAATACTATCTGACTATGCTCCTGGAAATAGCAGTAAAAAACTGACCATTGACTTTAAACCAGGTTTTGTTGATCAACTGCATGATCGCTTTTAGCAGTGTCAAGATAGCAATGCACCAAAAATGTGCCTGACTACACCTCATTTTACGAACAACATGCTTATGAGCGCGCAGTTGGCACAATTACACTTCCTATAATTGCAAACTGGACGCTGGACGGGATAATAACAACTGCTTCAGTACATAAACTAGCAAAGACACTAGTGTCGCTCTTTGCTCCATTATGCGCCATGTGTAAGATAGAGCCCTTAATGTGGTTATCATACAAAATATCTGCTTATTTAGATTTGATTCATTTTTTCAATAAATATCTGGGAGAAAAATATGTGGGAGACATCTCACATTGCGCATTATCCTATGATTTGGTTGAACCCAAGAGTTCTTTGTGTATTATGTTTGTAATTTTATTGTGTTATTTTGTTCAATTAATTGTCTGCTACCATACTTTCCCCATTACACACATAAAATGGGACATCGCTTTTTACAGCCTTGCTAACCTAAAGATACCAGTCACTTCATTGTTTTTACTGACAATGTGCCTGATGATGGGCGTGTTTTGAGTTTACTTCAGCTCTTTAAATTCTGGGGCACATAATTATTCTCTGGTCTGCTTTGCAGTTATAAAACTGTGTTTGTGTTAATTCTTGTATTGATAATAATGAAAGCAAATAGGACAATTTACCATGACGTCACAGCAGTAATAGACGTTCTTCCGGGTGGCAAAAGCCGAAGAGTTCTTAGCAAAACGTTAGTCAAAAATTAGTGTGCTTGCACTACATTAAAAAAAGACTGCAAGCTTTCAGTGTGTTACAGCTGTTACTTTTGCCATTACATTGACACATTTAACTTTATCTTGTACTGTGTCAATTGGAAAGCATATCGATGGAGCCAATTCAATACGGTGACAGCTAGTTCTAAGCCATCAGCTATGTAGCCTAGTTGTGGGTGTTTCCGTACAGCTGGACAAATGCTAGCTAGCATAAGCACTGCCATTTCTCACGGACTCCCATATTTGTGAGTTTAAACTTGAGAAGTTGAGAACGGGAGTAGAAACTTCCAAGAACGCGAGGACACAGTAAGCTGAGTCTGCAGTTTGAGACAGTTGCGTTCTTGTCTACTTAACAGTTCAGCGTGAGAATTTATTTGTTCACCTTTCTCACCACCATTTTAATAGTGTTAAATATTGTTAAAAATAAACTGTTATGTGCTTTTTCCTCGGCGGATGCTGTTGTCACTGACTGTCACCAGAGAATGCTGTCACCAGGGGCTCTGCTGTTACATTAGCTGCAAAAGCCATAAAGCAAAAGCAGGCTATACTTGCTGCCGATAGGTGTTGCAAGCTTGGCTCGTACCAGTACTTCGTCGGTAGTTGGTTACTAACGCAGGTGGGTGGCTGGTACATACATCGTATATCACCACAGATGTATTTTCTGGTTACAAAACCTATGTTTTCAGATTTAACAGTCAACATTTCTCGTCTCGTTTTACAAAATGTCAAGTCATAAACCCCGACTTATTAATTTAAGACAGACTTTCCCGGCTGGATCTCTTCAGGTCAGTGGAAGCCGCTCGCGTTCTGCCACCCAGAAGTATCTTGGCGCATATTCTTTACAAACATTCTGAAATGCCCCATATGTTTTTGATAGAGGGTCAGCCGCAGCCCACTCACTGGCGCAGATCACTGTCTGTACTCTCCTGTTCGCCTACATCCGCTGGAAGAAACTGCATGAAAAAACCTGGGGAGGTGAGTAGAGGCTCAACAGATAATTCTGCTCGTCAACCTTCAACGGTTGCTGAAAATATGACTTAGAGCCCAGCATGGGTATACGCTGTGACCTTCCACACAGATTTACGAGTGTTTCTCACATATATACATAGCAATGTCGGCTGTTGCTCTAAAAGCATTTTAAGGAAAAACAAATTTTAAAGGTCTCACATTTTGCTGTGTTTTCAAGTTTTTAGTTTTTTTTTTTCAAATTTTGTAATATCCAAATGCGAGGTTTATAAACCTTTTGTCAAAAAAAACCCATTAAAATACATAAATCTATGCCATTCACTGCCTGTCTTTCTCTCCCCTGTGAAAAACTGCTTGTTTTGAATTGGCAGTCCCTTTATGGTAATGAGCTGTGCTCTGACAAAAAATGACAGAAGTATGGTTAGTGCATTGAGGGCGAGAGAGGTGAGGAGGTTTAGCTCTGCTGTGTGGAGTGAGGAGGGGACTCAGACAGAGGATGATCCATGCAGAGCAGGTCTGTTTGTGACATAGAAAACAGCGGGAGGTTCAAACCATGTGTTTCAACCGCTGAAGTGGAGAAGTGAGGGTTCTACAGCTAAATGGGGTGTCTTTTATTCTTTTGGCCGCTAGATACAATGGAGGACACTGTACAGTTGGACAGTACTAGGAGAGGGTATTTTGCTTAAAATGGTATTTCAAATATTAAAGTGGTCATATTATGCCCATTTCCCAGTTTAATATTTTAATTTTTGTGGTCCAATTACAAACAGTCGCATGTTTTGATGGCAAAAGAGCACTTAGTTAGAGCTGTACAGGCTGTGTGTGCAGCACCTCAAGCTCACGCACCCTGAAACAGGTGGCTTTGGCTCTTGTCTCTTTTTTCCTTTTTTTTGTTTTTTATAAATTTGGCATCTCCAATCCCCCCTGAATCTGGAATGCCCAATTCGAGAACTATGTACAAGACTTATTGTATGTGACCCCTTGTTGCCAGCTCAGGAGAGAGAGAGAGTTTGCGGCTCTCTTCCAAAGCACGCGCCTGTCAGCCCCTGCATCTTTACATTCATTGGTCGAAACCATAGACTGTATAAAAAGATGGACAAAGCTATCGTGACGTCACCCATTGGTTTCAGCATACCATAAAGGAAGCCTCGATTTTGGTAATTTGAATTGCGCTATATTGTCATTTTGAAACCAGAGGTGATTTCTATTGGACGAGAGCGTGTATTGAAGATCCGGGGAGGACCGTGGTTCTGGATCTAACAGTATCGGACGAGGACCAGAGGATAGCCACGCCCCTAAAGCATATTCTGGCTTTATCCTTTATTCTAGTCTATAGGCGACCATAATTTACAAAAATGAAATCATGATATATCGAAGGAGACGTGAAACTTGCTATAGCTACCATAAAATAATGTGAAAAATCATTATTTAAATTAAAAATCAGGTGGGAAAGTAGGGTCATTTTCTCATAGACTTCTACAGCATTGAACTTCTTTCTGCAACCACCAATGTCGCCATCTGCTGGCCATTAAATAGAATGCCATTTTACAGTACTTCCGAATGGGCTTCATTTTTCAGACCAGGGTGCTGCGTCCATCTTTTTATACAGTCTATGGTCGAAACTTTCGCAAGTTCAGAACGAGGGTGGAGGATACCCAAACATGAGCAAGCTGAGAATTTCACTGACGAGCGCCCGGCTGGCCAACAGGAGGCGCTTGAGCAACGAACAAAGCGACCATTTTTAATATCCCTTCCCAACAGTCCCTTCCCAATTTGCATTGCTGCAGCGCTTTAGCCAATCGTGCGCTACCCTGAAAAAGTTGCCGACAACTGGGATCGAACCCGCGCCGTGATAGTCACTTCTGCTCCACAAAGTCAGCGCCTTAACCGAGTGAGCTAACCCGGCAGCTTGGCTCCTGTCTCTTTAAGGCCCCCTTGCTTAAAGCCTGCTCTGTTGTAATTGGCCAACCGTAATTCAGGAAGCAGTCTTCAGTAAAATAAAGGGAACATTACAAAAGGGATTTTACTGCTCAGAAATATTGGTAAAAATAATTTTAACCACATGCTCGTTACTTCATTCTCCTTTGGAAGCCCATAGAAAGGGAATTTGCCTTTGCACTGAAGAAAACAGTGTCTTTAATATGGTGATTCAGACCAAAGAATCTCTCCTGTTTCTCCACTCTACCGCGCTTTGTTTGAGGGCGTGCAAAACTAGCAGCTAGTGGGGCATTATGCAAATACATAACAATGGGCCTCATGCAGCAACATTCTCTTAAATTTCTCTTATATTTTCTCTTATTTTTTTGCAAAGAGGAAAAAAAGAGAGAAATAAACTCCGGATGCACCAAACACTCTTACTGTCCAAATCTGCTCTTACCCATGTGTGCAGAATGTTGAATCCCATTTGATCGTAAATTGGAAGCGCGTGGCCGGTTGTTTTAAATTAGCATATATGACACCCACTGAACACCATATAAGGGCAGGTGACGTGCCGTGTGCAAAGAGCCGACTGCTCGTGACAATCTAGGGCGCTTTCACACTAGGTACAATTGTTCTGTACTGTGCCACAGTACGATTGTCCCCCATCCCCTCTCCCCCCGCTGGTCAGCTTTCACAGTAGTAATATCATACCGTACCCGAGTACACTTGCAATCATGTCAAAATTCCGATACAGCACGTTGCAGTATGCTCCTAGGTGGTTTTAATTGGGGAACGATTTTAAAAGGAGGCAGCAATATATTTTGGGGGGTTTTATTATTGAGAAGGGGGTTTAGAATATTAATATTAAATATTAATATCGCGATTGCATATGCTGAGCATGCCCTAGCAACCCGGTGTGTCATCTGTAACATGGATTACCACGTATAGCAGCACGAAAAATTAAACTCGAAATTTTCTTGACTGAATACTTGATGTTTTTACACATCCGAATATCTCTCTGGGTACCCAAACATCAAGATAAACCAAAAATGTACGGATTACATTCGGTGTAGGTGGATGTTGCATACGGAATTCTTTCACCCTTGCGTTTTTGGCCAATTATGCTGTCCACTGCCTCATACCATGAAAATTTATCTATCTCATATCTTGAGCTGCCAGGCTTTTGCACCACGTCCCGCACTTTGAAATATCGCAGCCATATTTTCTCTAGTTTGTCACGGCACTGATCTATTATTCTGTGATAACCACGCGAATGTAACAACGCACAAATTATTCCATTAATCTCTGAGTTTTTGCATGTATTATCCAGTTGTGATTGTATGTTTTCGTCCGTCTACATTTCGAGCAAGCACTGAATTTCTTCGTTTGAATTGAGATATCTTTTCGCCGCTGCATTTGTTAGAACAAGAGCGCCGTTACACATAACAGTAATCTTCCGGGCTCAAGTTACGGTTGCTTTCACATTTGGTGCGAGTAGCCATTCATCTGTCTCAGCAAACAGATCCGCGCAATCTCTAAAAATGCGCTCTCTGCGCAAGGCCTGGATGGCCAAAGTGTCCAACAGCAATAGGTATGCCATTCAGAAGCAGAACGCACGCAAGTATCTAAGGGTTTTTATAGCTTAGTCCTAATTAGGATCAACTGGCCAAACTCTTTAGCCCAAGAATTAAATAATAAAATCGTTATAATTTCTCAAAAACATAAAACAATCAAAATGTGATTATATGATGCATTTTTTATGTTTAGGTTTTAAAACTTGTGTTTCCATGCATTGGACTAGCAATTTGTGGACAGAGATAACAGTTTTCTGTTTTCTCTTATCTCGGTAAGAGTGCTCTCGACCACTCGCAAAATTTTCTCTTACCGAAGAGAAGAGCAAAAATAAGAACACATTGGTGCATCTCAGAAATCAATGGGTAAGAACAAAATAAGAAAAAATTTGTTCTTATATCGCTTCTTGCGTGAGGCCCATTGTGACTTAAACAAGTTAGAGAAGGCTGGACTACAAATGAGGTGTTTCAGGGGGGTCATTTAGAGAGATTAACTTTTTTTGGCGTGGACTTTGGGCTTTATAAGTTTGCATGTAACCCATTAAAGAAAAACAATTTCCAGACAGCAGTCCAGACAGCAATTATTGCGTCTCATCTTATAGTTGAGCTTTCAAAATTTTCTAAAGAAACTTACGCTACCCAATGTGTTAAATGTGATTGCGTCACTGAAAATGGTATTATTTAAGTATGTACCTGTATATATTTATTTATATAGTAAGCCCAAATTTGTCTGTGTGCTATAGTGCCTTCAGTTTGAAATGATACATGGACAATGAGGTCAGAGTATGGACTGTCAGCTTCAGTTTTTGGGTGTTTTATCCATATTGGAAGGGCCATTCAGAAATGAGAGCACCTTTCCAACATAGTCCCCATCCCCTTTGTTCAGTGGGCTCCAAAATTACTGGCACCCCTGACTGACAATGCACAAACAATTAAAAAAAAATATAAACAATACTAGAGGGCAATCAGTAGAGCGCATACCTTGGCCGCGCCGCATATCTGTTCTCTTGGTTACAGAATAGGGCAAAGTAAACCCCCAGCCCAGAGTGTACCCGGGGTTAAAATGTTTTATACCCCACCAGGACAGATTATACCCCCCACATTTGGTCACATTTTATACTCTGGGGTATATTTTGGCCTAGGCCAGATTGACCCGGGTATAATCTGGCGCAGGGTTAATCTGGGCTGCTACACCAGATCACTTCCAATTTTAAATCAACTCTTCCTTGGACTACCACCTATCATCCTGCCAAATTTTGTGCCAAACCATTCATAACTTTTTGAGTTATCCAGTCAGAAATATCGCACAGACCCACAATAGACAGATATATTTCAATTCTTCTGGATCCAGAATCCAGAATATGTTCTGGATCACTTCCAAAATTGAATTAACTCATCCTTGGACTACCACCTATCATCCTACCAAATTTTGTTCCTAACCGCTCATAACTTTTTCAGTTATCCTGTGAACAGACAGACAGACGGACAGAGAAACTAACAAACAGGGGCGAAAACATTAACCTCCTTGGAGGCAATAATTATTGAGAAACAAAATATACCAATATGTGTGCCACCAATGCCTGCAATTCCTTCACAGAGATTCTTGGGGATTTTGTCGCTTCTCTCACCACCCCCCTCAGTATCCTGGGGGGAAAAATCACAAAATAAAAATTATTTTGACATTTCTGATGACCTTCACCTTGACCTGATCACTCCCAAAATTTAATCATGTCATCTCCGGACCATTGCCCACCTACTATGAAAGTTTGAAGTCAATCAGTGCAACCGTGTAGATGCCAGATTGTTAGGACACGGACACACAAACAAACAGAAAAACAGACAAACAAACAAACCACACTGATTACAATACCTCTCCCCGCTGACTCTTTCGCGGGCGAGGTAATTACAGCAGGAATAACTCAAAAAATTCCAGGAGGGGACTTATTTCCATTGAGGTCCCTTGACACCTTCCATTGAGGTGTAGGTTGACAAAGGGCTATTGCAAGTGTGTGACCTCATTTTATACCTTAGTGAAACAGGAAGTGATGTAATGGCTCAAAATAGTTCTTTAACACTTAGATAAAACTTAAATTAGTGGAATTTAATTCCTGGTTTAATTTTGGAAGATGTTAATTATAATAATCTTTAACGGTGCCAATAATTTTGAAATTGATTTTTAATTAAATCAGTAAATGATTTTGGTTGGTTCCATTAGGACATTAATATCATGCAGTATTTCTCACCAATTGTTATTTAGAGTTTCTCTCTAAATATACATATATTTTTTAAATTTTGAAGTATGGTTTGTGCATTGCCATTTAGGGGTGTCAGTTATTTTGGAGTCCACTGCCTTCCCCACCCCATTTTTGGCACATCAAATATTTTGGGCAGTTTATACAACGTAGAACAAAGAATAACTGCTTAAAGCCTGTATTGCATAGACTTTTCCAGACGCTGGGTATCTTCCCTGATGATGTTCCCCCAGGCCTGCACTGCAGCTAACTTCAGTTCCTGGTTGTTTTGGGAAGTTTTTGCCTTCAGCCTCCTCCTCAGCATATAAAATACAGGTCGAAATGATTTCTGATCCAGTGATTAACTTGGCCAGCAAGACAAAAGTACCACTTTCATGGCTGTACGGTGCTTTACTAAATGTGTCGATTATTACTTGGCTTCCCCTACAGGCTGGTCCACAGCATCACTTCAAGAGTGGGGCTCCTACATGAAGCTGGCCATCCCTAGTACGCTAATGCTGTGCTTTGAGTGGTGGATCTACGAAATCGGTGGATTCCTCGCAGGTACCATCTTCCCCCTGAGCTATACACACAAACAGCAGTTTATAATGGAGTATCAATACACATGTCCACCATGATGTTTTCAAAGGGAGCTACCGTAAAGCATTCATTGAAATAACAAATCAATAATGAAAGGGACTAACTAGTTACTTAACACTATATGCGGAAGAACACGACTTGGATAAGCATTTTTATTTTATGCCTATGGTTATTGAATTACTGCACTCTTCAATATCACCTCAAAATTATGCAGAGAAGTTTGCTTTGCAGCAAAAGGCTGTGCGTTTATATTCTTCCCAAAGTGTGAATTTGCGTCCCCGTGCAGACGTATTATATTCAAAACCTCTCCCTAGCAGGGGCTGTAGCATTTTGTGTACTGTACTGTACTGTTGTACGGGCCACTGAGCTAGTGCAGTAACTGTCCTGCTCTGATTGGGGACTGGCTCGGGGCAGTGGTGTGCCATTGCAGTAACTAACTTTTTTTATTCTTTTCTCAATAGAATTTGATGGTAAAACCAAGAAGTCACTTTCCAGTGTCTTCTCTTAAACCAGATCACTTTCAGAAATGGCCTCCACATTTTCAAATTAATTATATGGAGCTGTAATAAGAACTTAATTTCAAG